GATTATATGTAGCCATATAAGTCAAAAATTTAACATCTAATAAAGATACGAGGCAAGACCTCACCTTAACACCGAAAAAAAAAAAAAAAATTCTAAATTTTCAATAATAAAATTAAATATATAAGTTTTGGATCAGAACTATAATAGCAGTTATATAAAAATTAGTAAATATATTATCTGATTCATAATTATCTCTACTAACAGATTTACCTTTGTTCCTTGTTCTAATAACATTATTATTATTATTATTATCATTATTAATAACTATTGTATTATTTTCAGAGATTAAATGAATGAAACATTACAAAAATTTTAGTAAAAAGTCATAAATAACACATTAGAAATATTAGAAATTTTACTGGTAATGATATCAGGAGCATCATTAGGTTCTTTAGTGGGAATATTACTAGTAAGGATTCTACCGGAATATGTATTAGCAGCACTTTTATTATGACAGGTATCGGGGCACGATCAGTACTTGTGACAAAAATACAACCAAGACTTGTGGTAGAGGCACAACCAGTACTTGTAGTGGGGGCACAACCAGTACTTGTAGCAGAGGTACAACTAGGACTTGTAGTAGTGATACAACTAGGACTTGTAGTTGGGGCACAAGCAGGACTTGTAGCAGAGGCACGAGCAGAACTTGTAGCAGGGGTATAAGTAGGACTTGTAGCAGAGGCATGACCAGAACTTGTAGTAAAGGAACTACACAGACTTGCATCAGAGAAGCAGCACTACTAGCTCCAGTAGAGCTACTAGGAGAACTACAAGACATGATGAGAGAAGTTGTACCAGAGATCGAAGGTAAAATACACCAACTAGGAGCTCTAGCTAGTGGTGTAGAATTATTTGCGACTTTATTACTTTTCCACTGATTCTTTTTTAACATATTTTGATTTTGTTTTATGGTAGTTTTTTTGCATAGCAACAAAATTTGTTTCAACTAAAAGTATATTAAAATATATTAGTACTGATATCTATATTTATATGATTATATATTGTAATAATTACAGTTTCTAATTGCTATTCTTTTTTCACAATTTTTACAATGTGGCTATGTCTTTCAGGTTCAATTTCAGAACAAATATTTTGTCTTTTTTCTTCTTTAGCCAGTTCAGTATCCATTTCAGATACCTTATCACTATGATATTTGCTTTTTCTCAATATTTTTTTTAAGTCATTTAGAGCCTGTTGCTCTGATATATCAAGAGGGAGGAGATTTGTGAGATGTACACTATTTGTTTTTTGTAAATAGGTAAACCTTTTTTTTCAGTGGTTAATTTTCTGAGAAGCATAATTAAAATTTTACCAATAGTCATATAAGCAAAATATTAATACAAAAAAAAAATTCTTACTGCAGTTATCCTTTGATTTTTCTAGTTTTTTGCACATGCTTGCATATTTCTATCAGGTCTTGTTCTTAAGTGCTTTTTATATTGATGCTAGTGGTGTTTTTTAATAATTTTGAGTATTTGGTGATTTTCTA